GTCAGCCAGGCCGACCACCAGCCCCTCCGGCTCTTTGTGGACAGCTGTGTGGCCACCCTGGTGCCTGACCAGACCTCTACCCCCAGATATGCCTTCATTGAGAATCATGGGTGAGTCCTGTGCCTTCTGATGGAGGAACTGCTGTGCAGATGGTGCACTTGCAATGACCTCCCCTCTCCCCCAGGTGCCTGACTGATGCCAAAACTACAGGCTCCAGTTCTCGGTTCATGCCAAGACCCCAGGACAGCAAGTTGAGGATGAAGCTGGATGCCTTCAGGTTCTATCAAGATGCCAGGAGCTCAGTGAGTGTCTTCCTGTGGCCTCTGGGCTGTGAGGAGGTTTAGCTGCAGTGGAGCCTCTGACTGAAGGTGTGCTGTTCCAGATCTACATCACCTGCCTTCTGAAGGTGACTGCTGCTTCCCAGAGTGTGGACTCCGTGAACAAGGCCTGCTACACTACTGGGAATATGTAAGTGAGGAGGAGGCTGTTGCCCGCAATGTGCTCTGATGCGGGTGTCTGCAGTGATGCCTGTCCTGCTGTAGGTGGACGTCTGTGGATGGGAGTGATCAGGTGTGCAGCTGCTGTGACTCCAGCTGTCCTACTACCAAATCCAGGCACTGGATGAGAATGAAGAGGGATCTGGGATCTAAAGAGGGCGAGACTCTTGCTTGTGGCTTCTCAAAATGAGAAGAGGGGATTCTAGTTCTTGTAGAGGCTAGTGTTCCACTCCAGTAGTATGGACATTGGTACATTGAGGGATTGGGAGCAGAAGTCTTCATAGAAAACCATGGCACTGTACACAATCCCTCCTGCTCTTATTCTTGGGGAATGTAGGCAACTGTTCTCTGGATTGCTACATGAAAAGGAGCGTTCCAAAGGGTGTCCTTCCCTCCAGCATGCTCCTTAAATCCTGGTCGGGCTTATGTGAGAGTGAATGCTGTCTTCTGCAGCGCTGTAGGTATTTCAATCCAGAATTCCTTCCAGTTGCAGCTGCTGAGTGGGAAGGCGATGCCACAGTTGGTCCTCTGTTTGTGCTGGGAGAGCAGGCTGTTGACCGCCCAGCAGAGGTGAAAGGTCAGAGGTCTCAGCTGAGAGCACAGGAGGAAGGTGATGTAACAGGTAGAGGAAGCCTTTAGTACCCAACCTGTATACTGACTGGGGTCTCAGTGGGACTGAACTGGTCTAAAAGCATCTCTATGGTAGAGCAGTGTGAGCTAACCTGTCCTCTCTTTCCAGGAGTGTCTGCTGAGCCTGTGATCCTGGCTGCTCTGGGGGCAGTGGTGGGGCTGGTTTGTGTGGCTGCGCTGGGGACTATCCTTTACAGGAGACTGCAGAGTAAATCCACTGAGCTAACTGTGGAGAAATAAAGGAGGGATTGGAAACTGTCTCTCTGTGTGATACTTGTTCCTTTCTTAATCCAGTGCAATAGATCTTGACACCTGCTTATTGCGCTGACCTCTTGTGTCCTCATGCTACCCTGTTCAGTGTCTTTGCCACAAGCACTGTGGGCAGAGGGTGGGCTTGGGCTGTTACTGCACTGGCTCCAGTGGCTGTCAGCTACTCTGACAGCCTTTCTTGCGCAGATGCTAAGCATTAAACTGGAGCTCCACTCTGTAGAGTAGATGCTATGGGTGGGGAGCTTCTCTGCAGCTGATGATGGCTGCTTCACTGTTCATTGCTGCTGTAGTACTCACGGGAGCAGCCTGGACTCCAGCCTGTTACAGGTCCCTGCCAGCAGCACATGGACGGTTGATTTTGCTTCTAATTCAGGTTCTAGTTGACACAGCATCCTTTGTGAAGGGTAGAGGAGAGCTACAAGGCAGCCACGTTTCTAGTGTTGCCATGTGAGGCTTTTTACTGTCACTGAGACACCTGATGTGGTTCTCGTTTTCTTTGTTATGGAGTTACCTTAAAGCGTGTATCTGACTTTTTTTTTTTTTACTTCGTTATGAGGTGAAAATGTCTTGTTACGACCGCGGAGCTCGGTACCGATTGGAGCGGGTGTAGGACTCCGGAAAAGAGGTTAATCAGAAGCGGGGAAAGGCGCACACACACACGGGGACAGGGATTACAGCGCTACTCCTACTGTACACTACCAGC